TAAAATACATTAACACAGCTCACAGTAACCTTCTCCCCATGTGTCACACACATTTTAGGAAGTATTGGAGATAATGACGTTTATCACTGAAATTTGCTGTCCAGACAGGATTTCATATGAGGTTTGATGACTAAGAGGAGAAGAGCTTTCCAAGGGAACTGCCCATCATGCTCAGATTGCTGCTGGTGCGAAGACACACTGGGGGTGGCAGAGAAGGTGGGTTGGAAGGTGGTAGAGAAGGCGAATCTTGTGTCCAACTCTTTCAAGTGAGATTGTTAAAACAAATAGTAACCACAGCAGGTGGCTGCCAGGAAGAGGCTGTGACCCCGTGGAGAACCTGAGCTGGAGCGGGCTCCTGGCAGGACCTGTGGCCCCATGGAAAGAGGAGCCCACACTGGAGCAGGTTTACTTCCAGGACTTCTGACCCCGTGGGGGACCAAGGCTGGAGCAGCCTGATCCTGAAGGAATGCACTCTGTGGGAGGGACCCACATTGGAGCAGTTCATGAAGAACTGCAGCCCATGGGAAGAACCCAGGTTAGAGAAGTTTGGGGAGGACTGTCTGCCGTGAGAGGGACCCCACAGTGGAGCTGAGGAAGAGTGTGAGGAGTCCTAGCCCTGAGGAGGAAGGAGCAGCAGACACAACATGTGATGAACTGGCTGCAGCCCCCATTTCCTGTCCCCCCTGCACCATGCTGGGGGAGGAAACTGGGAGTAAAGTCAAGTCCTGGAAGAAGGGAGGAGTGGATGAAAGATGTTTTTAAGATTTTGGTTTATTTCTCATTACTCTGCTCTTATTTGCTTGGTAATAAATTAATCTAATTTCCCCAAGTGCAGTCTGTTCTGCCTGTGATGGTAATTGGTGAGTGATCTCTCTGTGTCCTTATATCAACCCACAAACCTTTCATTATATTTTCTTTCCTTTCCATGTCTAGCTGAGGAGGGGGGTGACAGAGCAGCTTTGGTAGGCACCTGACATTCAGCCAAGGTCAACCCAGCACAGACAGAATGAATATTACTGACTGGCTGGTTGCAAGGTTGCAAGGTCTCTCTTTGTTCATCCCACCCTCTACAGTGGCTTCAGTTCTCTCTGATGACCTCGGGGCATCTCACCTTCCACAACCTCTCCATTTGGCTTTTGGGGGACAGGAACACCCTTCATGAGCTGGTGTCCCCAGGTAGATGCTGGACTGGCATTCCAAAGCTTGGCATAACTATTTTAATTATGCAGAGCAGTGCTGCACTCCCTGAGATGACACAGACCTCTAAGACAGCAAAACAGAGAGGAGGCTCACACAACCAAGCAAGAGGGAGAGAGAAACTCCACACACTGGCTGTTGTTGAGTCCCAGAGGAGACCTAACTCAGTCTGTAATTGCTGTTCTGGATAGCTTCTGCCCTCAGAACAATTTTCTGCTGGTCTGTTGTTGCTTAGGCTGAATCAGGTTGATTTATAGAATGTCATTTTTTTCTCCCCAGCCATAGACAAGAGAAAAATATTTGTTGAAAGGCTGTTGCAGCAAGATTTAGTTTGTGCCCATCTCGCATCAGAAGCTTGCTCAAGTTTTATATTATTTTTTTTTCCCTTTCCGTTCTCTCAGAAAAGAATGAGGACAGAAAAACACCGTGCTTTGATTATTATTTCCGTGTCCACACATGGTGGACCACAGGGTAGGAGACACCTCAAGGGGGTTGCAGGTGGGACAACACACAGGGAGCATCTCAGCATCTCTTTGGTAAAACATGACAGACACTACAAAGGGTTGTTGGTTTGCTTTTCTTGTTTCTTTTTTTTTTCTCCCCCCAAAGATAACAAGCACCAGGGTTTTGTTTTGCTTTATTTTGTTTTGAAGTGCTCCCTTATGGAGAAATGCACACATGGATGTTATATTACATCTTTCAGAATCCCCTCCAGGTTGATTTTACAGCTCTCCTGGATGCTTGTTGCAGAGCAGAAGATGGGGCAGAACAAAACCTCATTGTAGAATTCAGCATCTCCTGAATATGGAGTCAGCAATTAATTTACATGCTGCTTTACAGTCCTTAAAAAAAAAAGAAAAAAAGGATGGCTGGTTTGTGAGTAAACACAAAAGCACATGTGCTAAATAGGATAGACCACTGATACTTTTGATCCCATTTTTATACAAACCTAAGGCAAACATTCCTGGAAATAAATGTGACTCTTCCCTTGAGGACCTGAGCTGACACTGATAAAGGAGTCTGGGATGTGGCTACATGTGAGAGAGGAATTATTGACAACACAGGCTTATTCTGTGTCCTTTTTGAGGAGAACAAGTTCCCCTCTCTGGTTTATTTAATACCATTCCCATGGCTGGAATACAGAAGTGTCCTTAGGACATCATTAAGGTCAGGGTTATGTTAAAAGTTTTCAGTGTGCATAAATCTTCACCCCACAAAGCAGGAGGTTTACTTATTTGCTGTTTTGGCAAATGCTCCAGTAATGCCCATTCCATGGGGAAATGGGCTGCTGG